GGAATTATTAAAAGATTTTCATCATCTCCTGTTTGTTCTGCATTATAGGACACATCCCATCTCGCTCCCCTTCCATACGTGATCGGCCTGACAGGAGGCAGCGGCAGTGGAAAGAGCTCCATCGCCAGGCAGCTGGAGGCTTTGGGCGCCGTCCGCATTGACTGTGACAAGCTGGGCCATGAGGTGTACCAGCCGGGCACTGCAGCCTATCACAGAGTGCTGGAAGAATTCGGGTCAGGTGAGGGAACACAAGCGTGCTGAACACATGGCATTACTGGGAGGGTTGGGCAATGGTTAGAGATGCATAAATTAATCGAAATGGAATCTCAATATGGCCAAGTGCAATGTCCAGAATGCAGGAGCTGCAATTTTTTGATAAAGGTAAAATGTGTCACAACATACCATTATAACTGAAGCGTTGTGGTGCTACAGAGATGCCCCAGCTCACAAATCATACTCCAGACATAGGGAACATGCTTATGTGTGAAAGCCAGGCTTATAAGGAACCAATCAAAGTCGATGGTGTCGTTATTCTATAGCCATTACATTGTGCAATCCACTTTTCCTTCATAATGATAAGTTAAACCTTTTTTCAGATTTAACAGTTAATGCATTTTGACATTATCTTGAAGTTTAAAAAAATACACTCTTTGCCTGATCAGCAGCGTCTGAGACATATGCATGATGGCAAACAAATGCTGAGTAGCATAATTTGCACTGACTACCACAAGAACAGGTTGCCCAATAGCTTGATTTTCATAATTTCTTGTTAATACTATGCTGTATAAAATCTCAGGTGTTGCAGTGCAATAATTATTTTTTTCTGGAACTTTTAGATCTTCAGAATGAAGATAAAACCATCAACAGACGAGCATTAGGAAGAAAGGTTTTTGGAAACCAGGTAATATGATGAGTATGAATAATGTTTCAGCACATCATGATGTTTGAAATGTCATCACCTCTGTGTACAATTTACCGAAGATGCTGTTTTTCGTGCAGGAGCAGTTAAAAGCCCTGACAGACATTGTTTGGCCTGAGATTGCACTTCTGGTGAAGAACAGGATCAGCCAAGCCAGAGAGGAAGGTACTGTATGGACTTACATTTATTAATCTTAGTACCGTAGAACTGCATATTGGTAATCATGTCCTTATTTTCTGTACATATACAACAGGGTGTTAAAGTGCTTTCTGTCTTGTGTAGCAGTCTTTTTCCTCTCCTTACATTTTTCCTTTAATGTGGCTAATGTACTGATTCTGCTGACAAAGGAACTGTGCCATCGCTTTGTTTGGAAATAGATTTCCAGTGTTCATGCGATACTTTGCTCTCTGCAGGTAAACAGGTTTGTGTGCTGGACGCAGCAGTTCTCCTGGAGGCCGGCTGGACAGACATGGTCCACGAGGTCTGGGTCACCGTCATCCCCGAGGAGGAGGTAATATCTTTGTACCTGCAGTCCTCAGTGCCATTCAGAATATGTGTCTCAACTTGGCTTTTTACCGTAGTTTGTGACACAGGCCATGTTGCCTGTTAACGTTCAGCTACTTATGCTGTCATGGATACGTTGAACACATGCCAAATGACCAACACTTTTCAAGGCTGGTGAAGAGATGCATGCCCAAAAGAAAAGCCCACATTTCTGGCCAGAAGAAGACACAGACCTACTTAAAAACATTATGAAAGACTTGGATATTAATAGGTGTTTGGATATGCACAAATATTGCAACACCGACCTTTTCAAGAAGGCGGTTGAAGGAATGAGAAAGGGAGGCTGACTTTTTGATGCAAAGGAACAAAATGGCACAAGTGTCTTGCAGCTGTTCCACTTTACCATATTTTGATGTGATAAATGACATTTTAGGGAGCGTCAATCGGAGTATGCAGGCCGCACATTTCGGGAATATTAGTGGAATATTCGTTTGTCCTTAGCCATGTAAACAGCTCAGTAGGAATATTCCTTTTTTGGAATAAGAGGGGGAAAAAAACGGAATATTTTGTGCATGTTAACGTAATCAGTGTCTCGCTGCACTAGTGTGCAGCATAAAAGAGTCAGAGTTTCCACGTTTTTAAAGAAGTTTTAGTGCATATTATTTTCCAGTCTTTTTTTTTCTTTGACTGTATTGCAAAAGTTGAAACCACATTTTTTCAAAATGTTCTGATGGCAAAGGTTTGTGATGTTGGCTACACTTCTGGCGGTGAAGGGGTGTGTGGATATCACCACGCATTGCTGTCAGCCATAGTTTGTTTAATAGATATCACCACTGGGTGGCGCCAGAGTTGGACATTTTGAAATTCTATACACACTGGCTTTAGAAATGTATGGCTTTTGAAATGATTATATATGCCTTTATCTCATCTCGCATTCACTACTGTAATGCACTATTCTCCTCACTGAGTCTGTCTGCTCTTGCTCAACTACAACCAATTCAAAATGCTGCTGCCAGACTTCTAACTGGATCAAATAGACGCTCTCATATTACCCCAATATTAAAATCCCTTCATTGGCTCCCTGTTGAGTTTAGGATCCAGTTTAAAATGCTCATTCTTACTCACGGAGCATTACACGGTCAGGCTCCCTCTTATGTAGCTGTATGAATAAATTTTTCTTACTTAAAATAAACACTCACTTTGATAACCTAACCTGTCCTCTCAGGCAGTGTTAAGGATCACAGAGCGCGACGGTGTGTCCACAGAGGACGCCCTGCGCCGGCTGCAGAGCCAGTGGTCCAACAGCAAGCAAGTAGAACACGCCAATGTGGTGCTCAGCACACTGTGGGAACCGGAGGTCACACGGAAACAGGTCAAACACTCATGATGCCATCAGTAGAGGGTCTACACATCTGCATGACATGAAGTTCTGTGAAATAAGATCCATTGTCTTTCATTTTAAAGGTACTGAAAGCTTGGAATCTTCTTCAGCAGAGAATCCAACAGCAGCGAGAGGGAAAAGTGTCTGTCACTACATCATCTCAGCTGTGACCTGTGCATGCAGATACAAGCATGTGTCAGGCCCACGGACATGAGTGCACAAATGACTGATTCACATAAGGAAACCCTGCCTTAGAAAGAAGCGAGGATGGTGACTGTGCCATCACAGCAAACCCAACGAGCACTCTCACTTCTTTGACCAACACTCAGTGCCTAGTTGACTTTCCATGGGTTTTTAAAGTCTAGTTTTATTTGAAGATTGTGAGTTAAAAGTTGGATGGATGGGGGAAAAAAATCATAAATGATCCTTTACAAAATAAATTTGGAATTTGACAGCTGGAATTCATGTTTGGGATTAATAAAATGTTGTATTATCCTAAGAATTGTAGGTCTGTTTTCATCCAAAGATTTGTTTTATTTATGAATGACATGCCTTTAAATAGGTGCTGTTAAATGATAAGCCCAACAGTCAGCAATCTCAGATCATTTTAAGGTCAAACTTTTTAGCAAAGTCCAATATTGTGGACAGTTTTGTGGATTGATATGAATGTAGCTTAGAAAAGCAACTAACAATAAGGGAAAGGTGAGATACTATAGTGAAAGATTGTATAACTGTTAAATCATAGGATTAAATGTTTGTGGTTTCAGGGTAGGGAGAATATACTAACAAATTCACAATCACTGTGGCGTGAGGAATGACCAAACATGGTAAACTGTATCAGAGAGACATGTGCAATAGGTTAGGATATATTATAACATTATCAGTGTAGCTGTCACGTTGAGACGCACAGGGCGCTGAAAATGATTGACACAATCACAATGACTAATAGGAAATAATAAGGGCAACACACATAGGACACTGAGGTAAATCAAGCTGACATAAGAAAGGTTTTACAGCTTTGAAACATTTATCTGGAAATTAAATCCTTTGGAAAACTTTGACTTGCAGTCAAGAACGAGCTCACCTCAACATTCAGATATTTGTTTCTGAAAGTACCTGGAAAAGCCAAAATGGACAGCAGGGTAGAAACTAATATATGTTTACATTGTGAGAATAAAATACTCCTTCATTGCTTCAGCCATACCATAATGATGTCATTTGATCATACAGTTGGTAAGAATTGTCTTGCATGTCATCTGGAAACTCAGTGGAATACTTATATAAATTGGCGTAACATTAAATAATATGTTTTCAAATCATGAGAGATCTCTGCTTTCTGTCATTAATTTAAAGGCATGGGCCAACGGACCAGATTTATTTCTATTTTTGTACATTGCATAGTGTGCCCAGTGTGAACCTGCTCTCATCTATGAGGACAACGGGGTGCCAGTGGTGGACCTGCCAATTCTGGCGTTCTCTGGCGAATGCTAGTCGATGCCCTCGTGTCACCCTCATGCAGTCTGTTTCTGACAGTTTGGTCAGAAACATGCACACCAGTAGCCTGCTGGAGGTCATTTTGTAGGGCTCTGGCAGTGCTCCTCTTGTTCCTCCTCACACAAAGGAGCAGAAACTGGTCCTGCTGCTGGGTTGATGCCCTTCTACGGCCCTGTCCAGCTCTCCTCGAGTAACAGACTGTCTCCTGGTATCTCCTCCATGCTCTTGAGGCTGTGCTGGGAGACACAGCAAACCGTCTTGTGCTAAAGTTCATGCACACAGATTGCTTTCAGCATCTTAATACATCCCTTAAACTGAAACTAATACGTTATCCACGTCTAAAAATCAGCCAATGTCAACTAACACTGGACACAAACCCCTGTTTCCTGTGAGGAAGTCCTGTACTTAAACCACACACCCACTACATCTTACTCCTTTGATGGTCTCTGTCGCTCTTCATACTATGTCACAACTTTCTGTTGGTACATTTGTAAGTTTTTTTTCTTGTAAATGTACCACTTGAATCTCAGAGCATTCGAGATCAGCTTGTACTACCCCTAACCCTCACCCTGCGTCAAAGTACTCACCAATCACAGCACACAGTGGGATCCATAATAACAGGTCTTAAGGATGGGTGTGCGTGCTGAACAGCTGCAGTGTGACTTTTCTCACCTTCACTTCATAATTATTTTTAAACATTAATTTTCAACCAAGTAAGCTTTTATTTTTCTCAAATTCAGCTTTTAATGTTAATGCCTTTAAAAACCATTTACACTTGAACGATATTAAAATGTGCAAAATGTACAATTCTCATGTGAACGGTGCTGAGCTCAGCCACAGTAGCAAAGATATCACCTTATTTCAGTGCAACAAAACCATGTGCATTAGTAGCTGAACATGCTAACTACACATTAAAAGAATACAGACTTAATAAGTGCACTGTGGTAACTGGTGGCGCTGGGTATGCATGTGGTAGAAGAACATAATGCACCCGCTTTGCCTTGAAATTGTGTGTGAGCAGCCTTGTGTGGCAGTGAGTAACCGTCCATCTGTGTGCTGACGTGTCAAAGTCCAGGCTTTACCCAACCATTCACATCAGTCTGCTTCTGAAGTCTCCTTCCAAATGAAGATAATCTTAAAATTGTTGCCTCTGCTGGTTTTCTTCATGTTCACATCCTCACTGTCAGTTTGGCAGAGCACATTGCCTCCCCCAGCTTGTTGCCGGCCCGGCACACATAAACCCCAGAGTCAGAAGGCTTCAGATCTGTCACAACCAGAGAGCAGAGGCCGTCTTCATTTTGCTCAGTGGTCACTCTCTCCGATTCAGACACCCGCTTCTCATTCTGAAGCCACTTCACCTCCGGCTGTGGGTAACCTGGAATTTAGACAGTAAGTGAGTTAGATAAAAAGACGAACACTAAGTTTAGAACAGTAGAGTTGGTTCAGTAATTATGAACCTTCAGCCCGTAAGCTTAGCTCAGCACAAAGAATAGAAATGGGGGACGTTGTAGATTAGCTCTGTCCAAGTTAACACATTTTTTTCCCTCTTGTCATTACCGTGAGAACATGGTCAAGAACCCAGCAGAGACTCCAGAAAGTTTATGTATATGACAAACAAATAGTTCAGCACTTAACCCCCGATCAAACCACAATGTTTCCATGTTTTGTTGAGAATAAAGAGGGACATATTATGCTCATTTTCAAGTTTCATACTTTCCGCGAGAACATGTTTTCATACACCATTTTCCTCATACTGTCTGAGCTGGAACACCTGTATTCACCATCTCTCTGAAATGTTCCGTTTAAGTGTCTCTTTAAGAAAACAGAGAGACACTTTATACTTTGAAAAAACAAAAAACAAAAAAATATCACAAAAAAGCTTCTAAACCAAAATCTTCAACCAGACATATTCCAGCAAGAATAAGATCTGAAATCAGGGAAAAAATGTACATAATCCTCAACCATGATAACATGTTTCCCTGACGTTAGCATGTAGCTAGATGTAGCAGTGTACTTGCAGCCAGGGAATGATTGTAATAGAGTATAGCCGCACTCACTACTTTTGTTATTTACTGTCCGACTTGTCCATGTGTGGAAGGCTCTTTCTACATAGGCTGTACAAAAAGACGCCTGAGGGATCGCCTTGCTGAACACAAATATACCAGTAGAACAAAAAAAAACATACCCCATGGATAGACATTTCAGTGAATTTCATAATGCTAATGATACCCTATTACACACTGAGGGCATTCAACAACATTTGGTCGGGAAGGTGATGGAATACAGAAACAGACTGGATGCCTTTATGTATCCTGGTCTCAATGAGGATATAGACTTCACATGTTCAATGTGATTTGTCATTATTCTTTACAAGCGTCATGATTTTTCTCGCAACCTGTGTTAAGATTGGATATCTTCTGGGTATCTTATCTCATGTCATTCTGTTTTTTATTACCTTGTTATTTTTTCATTATTGTCTATTTGTTTCAGCTGTCATGCCATTATATGGGTCATGTGATGGCCTCTGATTGGTTTCTGCCATTATATAGGTGGGGCCATACCTGCATTGTATTTTTTGAAAGCCCCGACAAAGACCTACAGTCAAAACATGTTGGCTCTTTTAATGATTTAGCCACTACAATAAAAGGCTTTTTAATTTTTCCTTCCTTGTTTTTCTATACATTTTTTGGGAGCGCCTACTGTGAGTCATCATCACCAATAAAAGCTTCTAAACCAAAATATTCTCAACTGTAAATGTTCCAGCAGCATTATGATCCAATGTAACAACATTTGCAACCAAGATTACTTGTTTCCCTGACATTAGCATGTAGCTACATGTAGCAGTGTAGGCTACATAATGTAAACACTTGCAGTAGCGTGCCTGGAGCAGATGACCCTTTAAAGAAATCTGTCACGATCTGATAAAAGCTTGTCGCAAAAGTGGAAAAAACAACAGTTGGAAAAAGGGTATTATACAACAAGTAGTTCCCCCTAAGCAATCTCATTGGTCAACAAGACATTTCGAATGTGTCCAAATCAGTATAACAGCATACCTGGCTCAACATTAGTAAAAATATTACTCAGCCATTTCCATGGTAAGCCTGTAATTGCCAGAGCAAATATCAGATGGCTACAAAACTGCTACAAAATGGATGGATTTCATAGGCGTTTCTAGCCCATTTTTGGGAGTGCTGAAGCACCCCTAAACTGAATCCCAGCACCCCTAAAATTTGAGAGATTTTTTTTTTTTTTTTTAACTGTATGTCCCTTTTTAACAAGCTAGAAAAGTGTCAAAACCATACAGTACTTGGTTACAATGTAATATTATTATTATTATTATTATTATTATTAATAATAATAATAATAATAATAATACAATATTTTTGGTACTCACTATAGGGGGCTGGTTAACTCCACAAACATACATACTGTTTATGTGTATGTTGAGGAGCTGTTGTATCAAAATGAGTTGTCTTCCCCCAGAAATTAGAGTTACGATATGTTTCTTTTATGATACCAATCCATTCCTCTTTTGCTGTAGCTCAGCATTTAAATTACCTTCAATCAGATTTGATGGTTTAGTCACAGACTTTCCCAAAAAGTGTTGTGCTTTTCTTTCACAAATGTGGGAATGAAATTGAGTTAAAATGTACAAAACAGTAAAATTTATCTTGCCTGGCCGGGCAGCTCTCTGGGTGCTCAGCACCCCTAAACCTCTGATCCTAGAATCGCCCCTGATGGATTTGTTGTTAATTTGATCTCTACTGCGGACTTAGTTTGATGAATGGTTGGAAGAAAACGAGGCTGTTGCTGCTGTTGCTTTGGTTCATAATGGACATGCTCTATATGCGTTTATCGGCTAAAATCTGTAGAAAAACTTTTCACAATCCTAAAAATGTTATAGCTTTATATGTTAATAAACACAGTCAATATTTATTAAACTAATAAATCTGATTTTTTTTTGTCCTTTATTTCAAATGATCTGCAAAGCTAATTAACAAAAAGCCACCTAAAGATGGGTCATTCAAAACAGTCTGAAGCACGAGACTCATGCTCAGTGATTGCTTTTACATACGTTTACACTGTTATCTGAAACTTTGGCCATGTTTAATACAAACGTGACACTATGACATTTTATATATGACAGAAAATGAGGACAAGCATAATAGATCCCCTTTAAACAAAGGAAGTATAACATGGAATCTGTGGATTCGTCCTTATGAATAATTCCTTTCAAAATTATATAGTAATTTGATCTCTATATAACATAAAACCATGGCAGCTTTAAGTTGGGCCAGTTAATGACTTGCGGCCATCAGATCTATTCTGACAGCGTTGTCTTTCTTCTTCCCTTATAGAACATGGCGGGGCATTATTTAATGAAGTGCAACACAGTTCTGTCACTGTACCATTGATGAGGCATGTTAGTCGAGCTGTTGCTCCTTTGGGAAGGGTGGTGTCCTTCAGGGCCTGCTGGAAGCGAGGTTCACTCTGGAGCTGCTTATCCAGCGACTGGATGGCCTCCCCTGCCTCTTGGCTCCAGCCTGGCTCTGCATGAGAGGGAGGATGATGATGAATAAAACGGAAACAAGGCTTTACAGATCACAAAAGGGTAAACTTGAAGTGACAATCGGAAAGTGTGAGTCATCTGCCATATGTATGTGGCTGCAGGACATGGAAGGGCATTGTGTGTGTGTGCGTGTCTTTTTTATCGGTCTTACCCTCTGAGGAGCTGCCAGGAGAGTCTGGCCTGTTAGAGAGATTAGCCATCCGCTGTAGGGCCAAAACAGCCTTGCCAGTTTTCTAGAAGTTTAAAGGACAAATAGCACTGGATGACAAACTACACTCATAACCAAGCTCAAGGTCTGAACAGGACAATGGACTGAAAGGTCACCACAGGGAAGCACTGATAAGAAAATTGTTCATCTGTCCGAGGCTGGGCTAACGGCATTGTAGTCATTTTTCAGGTTAGTTACCTTCCACTTGCGCCTGGCCAGAAAGCGTCTCATCTTCCCCTTATTGAGGGACTTGGTAGGTCTGCGGGTCAGTGGGGTGAAAGAGACCATCCAGGGGTGGGCGAGGGCCTCAGTACATGACAACCTACATCTAGAGTGCAGGTGGATAGAGAGGGGGAAGCAAAGGCTGTTAAATCTGAGCTCACTGTGATGCAGCCGTGAAATATCTGCTGCTTGAATAAAACCCAGACTCTCCCTGATTCATATTCAGAGGTTGATAAATGTCACAAGGAGTGTGCTGCCCATAATGTTATACTATAAACTGGAGAGAATACTCTTGTAGCTGCTTCTCATAGGAGCTTGAAACTTTCTAATTGTATCACAAAGAGGTTCTTGAATCCAGGCAGTTTGTTAGCATATCTATATGATCCATTTGGTCCGGAAACTTTTAAATAATATATCATATTTAGAGAAATGTATGGGTATAATATTTTCAGTAGAATAACACTGGCATTTCCATCACCATGTGTCTTTTCCATTACAATAAACGAAGTCATGAAAGTGACTGTTGTCGAAGTGACAGTCTCATTGAAAAAAAAAAAAGTCATGATATGTTAGGCCGCTCTTCTTAAGTGAGCCGCTAACTGCTACTTGCTGCTTTTGAAATCTCCTGGTGATGGGTTGCACACATAACACACTGATAAAATGTGAAACTGTCCCGTCCCAGTGGCTCACACTTTTAAAACAGACGGTGATTCAGCCAAGCTTTTGTCCAGTTTAGCGTTGACAATGAATACACACAAAACACACAATATAAAATTATTTGGACATTTAAGTGTGATTTATGTGTCACGTGCAGTTGAAGTTGATATAAGATCAAGATGAAATTCAAAATTAAGCAGGTTTGAATGTCCAAAATCTGGCTCAGGGACAAAGGAAATATAGCAAAAACCACACTTAAAATAATGACTTATCTATATTTTTTCTTTTGTATGTTCCTTTTGGACTTAAGTGTGACCAAATAAAAACATAAAAATGTGTTTCTTTTTCACGACAGTTGAAGAATCACTCATATATAGGTAATCATGGCGAGAATTTGCTATGCACCATAATCATCATTTAAAAAAGGAGATCTAAAGAAAACCAGACCAACCTCCTGTCTTTCTTCAGCAGGGAGCTGATAAAGTCTTTAGCCTGATCGGAGATGTCCTCAAAACTCTCCTCATCAAACTCAAAGCGGGCAGAAGTCACAAGAGCAAAAGTCTCAGCATCGTTGTTCCCCTGGAAGGGAGACTCTCCACTGAGCCTAGGACACAAAACAATAAATCAACACATACACAGTGTTTCTGCACAGACAGGATTTGTAACCAAAAAAATAGGGAAATATAGTACTTATAACACTGACCTAAAGGGGTAAATGAACTGTCTTCAGTCTATTATTCCATCGAGCTACTGCTGGATTTGGTTGAAACTTTGCACACTGGTAGCATTTGCACTACTAGTGGCAGAAGCTAAATGATGAGCTTTTTCAATCATTCAGCCATAACTTAACTATTTCAACTGCATATTCATCACTTATATTCAGCCATTTCTAGTGACTTTAGGAACTATTTTACCTGTATACCCACTCATTTTGGCTACTTTTCAGCATTTGCATATAACTTTCAGCTAACTGTTTAGACCTCTCTGCTCACTTACTAACTTTCCATACAATCCCCATCGTAACACACTGTGTTCAAGCTACAGCTGACTCAGTACTTGTATATACTGTATATATTCATTTTCTGATCAAATTGTTATTTAAGTTTTTGCAAATTAAAAGTGAGTGGAGTTGCTACACCACAATATTTCCATGTACTCTCTGGTAACTGCCAAAGTAGCTCCTAGGGTACAGGAACCCCTGGTTGGGAATCAATGTTATAGGGCACTATAGTTATACAATGTCACCAGCAGATGGCGCCAAATCTGCATTTGTTGAATAATTTTGGTTTCATGTGATTAAACTGGCATGAACTAAACTGTTAATGATTTCCTTTAACTTTTAACTATCTTCATATGACTTTGCCATAATTGACATCTATAGATAAAGGATGACTTAAGAATAAACACCAGGCATTTATGTCACTTAAATCCTTTTTCTGTCCCACACTTCATGAAAAATCTAATATGCCCTCTAGGATTACTGTTTTCATTTTCACAAAGTATCCCCATTGCCATTTTTTTCCTTTTAGAGTATGCTACTGTGGCTTTAGTCTAAACTACTACAGCATTTGTTTGACTTACAAGATGAAGCAGATGACTCCGATGCTCCACATGTCAGTCTCCAGGCCCACAGGCTCATAATTGATCACCTCAGGGGCCACAAACTCTGGCGTACCATGCATCACCATCAGGGGTTTACCCTCCTCTGAAGAACAGGATAACAGTAAAAAGCAGAAATTCAAAACATCACCCTGACTGTTTTACATGTGTCTGTTTGTATTGGCCTATTTACAGAAAGCTACAGTCAACTCTAAACAGACCACCCAGTCTGGGGGTGCAGCTTCTGGAGCGTCACCAAATTTACTGCCTGAATTGGCTCCACAGGCTTTGCGGCATGTATTGAGTTAAAGCAGTTGTCTATTTAAGGACTTGTTATTGTTTAATGGGCATTGTGGATATCTAGGAATTTAGAAACAACACTCCTTGATGTTATCTGTGGTTATTTCTGCATTTATAAGAATGTCTGATCCTTCGTAGATATTGCTGTGTTGTTGTCAGCATAAAAAACATGGTCAAATTGAGAGGCTGGCAAAATAGTTAAGTATATTTACTTCAGTTGAACTTGATGCAGACTTTTATGCAGCCAAGATTTTTGTTTATATGTATTCATATGAACCATAACAGGAAATATTTTATTCCCCAGGCTGAGTACACAAAGCTGCACAGCACTGACTGGCACCTTATAAGGACCACTGGATTTCCCTAGATTGTAACTTGTCATGAGAATACACACTGGGTGATTTGTTCACAGTCCCTTGTGAGCAGCAGAAAAAGTTATTAAAAAAAAAAAAAAAAACCCGACAAAAAACAAAGCAAACTCACTCAGTTCACTAGCCAAGCCAAAGTCGATGATCTTCAGCTTTGTACCAGTGTTGTCCACGCAGACGATGTTCTCTGGTTTGAGGTCCAGGTGGACGATTTTCTGCTTGTGAACGTACTGCATGCCCTCCAGGATCTGCTGCATGTAGCGAGCGCTGGTGGGCTCCGTGTGCTCAAAGTTTTCATCCACGATGCGTTCAAAGAGCTCCCCGCCTGCAATACTGGGCGACAAGTAACACAGGTTTCAAAAACAATCCTTAAAGTGGGAGTTTGGTATTTTTAACCCAGACCATATTTTTTCCATGTTTTTGTGTCTAAATAATAATAATAATACATTTTATTTATAGGTGCCTTTCAAGACACTCGACATCACCTTACAGGCAACGATAGAGAAAATAAGAACAGATTAATAAAGTCAACAAGATAAGGAATAAAGTAACATAAAAATAAATCATAAAAATAATAACAGCAACAAATGGAAGGGAGTCAATCTGAATAGGCTATTTAAAAGAGAGGGGTTTTGAGGCGGGATTTGAAAGTGGAGGGGGCTTCCAGAGGCGGGGAGCAGAGCAATTGAAGGCTCTAGACCCCATGGTGGTCACGCGGGCTGGCAGGACAGTGAGGTGGATGGAAGAGGAAGACCTGAGAGTGCAGGTGGGGGTGTGGATGTGCAAGAGCTCGGAGAGGTGCAGAGGAGCTAGGTTGGGGATTGACTTAAAGGTGAGGAGTGAGATCTTAAAGTCAACACGGTATTTAACAGGAAGCCAGTGAAGCTACAGAAGAACAGGAGTATTGTGATGAAAATGTAAAATAAAAATGTAAATGACAAATGGGAATAATCATTTTTAAACTGGTCCAGCATTAAGTGAAAGGGCTGCAGCTGGCAGCCACGAAACGGGCTGCAATTAACCCCTCAGGGCAATGGTGCACCATCCAATAAAAGTGCTTGCTTTTGCCACTGTTTGGCTCAGATTAATGTCAGATTAGTGCATCTTAAGTGTCTAACAACCTTTTTGTTTAACCAGAAACAGCCCCAAGATTGCTACCGCCAAACCCACCAGACTCCATTTAAATAAACTAATTTCATCATTGTTAAACACACTTCATTCACAGTCCACAGAAACAAAAAAAAAAAAACTTAAATCACACATCAGCAGAAGAAACTTCCCACCAACAGATACAAAATAATTTTACTGATCAAAGTCAGCTTTCACTCCTCAGTTACTTACTACTCCATGATCAAGACCATCTCAGAGCGTGTTTCATAGGCAGCCAAACACTGGACCAGTTTTGGATGGTGGAGTCTGTTCATTAGTTCGATCTCTTTGCGAGCTGCCGCCCTCTCCTTGGAGGTTCGGCCTCTGTAGAACTTTGCCGCAACCACCTGACCCGTCTCTTTGTGGGACATCCGGAACACCTGGCCAAACTTCCCACTGGAAAATGTTCAATCAAAAACAAATAAGAGGCATTAGAACTTTACTTTGTTGGACATGAAAATGTCAAGTTTGTTTTAAATACAAAGACTCAATGCTTACACTCCCAGCTTCTCATGCAGATTGTAGTAGTCCTTGGCCTTATGTGTGGTGTCAATGGTCACTGTGAAATACGACCCAGGATCTTCCTTCTTTTCTGCCTCTAACATAAAAAATACACAGCAGGTGACAAATAAGCACACCCCTCCCGACAGATAGCCTCTTCGCAAACATTTTACCAACACATCACATACTTGTGGTCACCATCTTGACAATCTCAGACTCCTGGCTTGGTTCGCTGACCCCTGCTGAATTGTATGCCCTGACACGGAAGCGGTACTGCCCCAGAGGCTCCAGTCCTGAGCGGACATGATAGGATGTGCTTTTACATCGGCTTGTTAGTTCAGTCCAGCTCTCGGGCTTGTTCGAGCCCTCTGGTCTGACCTCCACTTTGTAGCCCAGCACTGCTGTGCCTCCGTCGTAGCTGGGACCCGTCCAGGACAGGACCAGGGACTGAATGGACAGCTGGGAAATAACAGGTTGGGATGCTGGTGGCTCGGGCCGGTCTGAGGAGAAATATAAGAACAAAATACCTCTACTCATGCTGCTTTGTTGGGCTCATATCCGAGCACTCATTGGAGAACTCTAAATACTAAACTGTTGACCAAAGTAAGTCTCACCTATGACACTGAAGGACACGATATGCTGTGCAGAGCCTTTTCTGTTTTGTACTATGACAGTGTACAAGCCTGTGTCTTCTGGACAGGCCTGAGAGATCTCCACACTGCTGTGCGTCTCACTGCTGCAGACAGACATCCTCGGCCCTCCTTTCACCACCTGACGAATACATATCAAGACATAAGGCTTTAATGCCATTTCAATGGATCGAACAACCCTAACATCTAACAACTTGGACTGTTTTTTATTACCTTGTCTTTGTTGCAAATCCAGCAGCAGGCCACAGGGACAGAGCTGCTCCTGAACTCACAGTGCAGCTGGGCCTGCTGTCCTACTCGAACCTCCACCTGCTCCGGTGGGTCTACAAACTCCACAGGAGGCCCTGAGGAGAGGTTTGTTCCATCAGTGAAGCATAACTGAAATGCCATCAAAATGTAAGCTTACGTGTTGTGGTGTCCTCTATTCACCTTTGCTAGGGGAGACTTTTGTTTGAGGTTTGATATCTCTGCCACCTGTGGAGACTGAAGGAGAAGGTGGACTTCAGGTGTGTGCTGCTATAGGCAGTTTTAAAAAGTATCCAACCAATCACATGTGAGCAGTCATGTTAGGTTGCAGCAGCAGCCAATGCATTGCACTTTTGAATGAAAAGGCAGGCACCATTAACCACAAACATTTGTGTGTGTACACTGCAACAGGTGAAAGAAGGTTAAAGACAGCCTGTATGTTTTATGAAGTGAACAAAATGCATGTCATACACAGTTTTACATGTCACTATGTGTGTTTTTGCTGCTTCTCTGCCCTCATATTTACCATTAATTTGCATTTTTTTCCAACAGATTTTTTATAAGTACATGTAGTAAGAAGAAAAGCAAAAAGAAAAGGGGGTGTAACATCACAAACTGTTTTTATTAAGCTTAACAAAAGTTTTAAATCTACCTTTCTTTTCTTCCTTTTCTCTCTGTTTGCTTTTCCCCTTAAAAGCAGGAGACAATTGAGTGTTTCTGGGGGGTGAAGCCTTGGACGTGACCTCGCTGTGTGACTCATGGTTGCTTGTTCTGGGAATTTCCTTTGTTGCTTTTTCTTTGAAAACAGAGTGGAAACAGGTTTACTGTACACAGATCAATTCAATATGGTTCATTTAAGGACAAATAAATTCTAACTCGACCCCTGCTTTACCTGTGATACGCAACGTAGCACTGCTTGACTGTTTCCCAGCTGTATTCTCAGCTATGCAGGTGTACGTCCCGGCATCTCTCCGGGAACACCGAGTCAGAGCCAGGCTGGCAACATCATTTTTGAAGGAGGTATTACTTGATTTCACCCTCTCACCTAAAAGCATAACAATAGGCAAACATGTTTTTACTGTTGAGGATTGTAAAATTCCTTCTAAATAATGGATATTGTGACTCAATCCTTGCTTATAATGAACAAGAGGTAGACATTTTGAAGGTATGTTAATCAGACATTTACCATTGTGCAGCCAGGAAGTAGTCAGAGGTCGACTTCCTGTGATAACACCTTGAAAAGTAGCATCACTTCCTTCACAGACCGTGCAGTCCCTGAGTGGTTCTTTGAAGTGAGGCGATTCAAGTGCCTGGATGGTTTTCAGTCTGGACCCTGAGGAGAAGTTCAGGACAATGGAGCTCATTTCCAGGTAAACTGCATACACCAGTGTTTCCTTTACCACTGACCAATCAGGAAAAGTCATTAGCAAATATTTCAATGGAAGGTTCGGGGCCTTTCCACTCCAGGCATGATTTAACTGATCAAACTTTAAACGCACCATGTGGTACATGCAAATATAGTGAGAAATGAAAATATTGAAACTGTAGAGTGATGTGGGTGTGTGGTGTTCATCTGTGTTGCCTCCAGGCAGAGCAGCATTACGTCTCTGTTAATCAGTTACCTGTTGCTGTATCTGCTGGAGTATGTTTCAGTTGCAAGAGTGCAAGCGTGGGGAATTTGACATGTTGTTTTCAAGGTTTTCCCACCACGTGTGTGTGTGTGTGTGTGTGTGTGTGTGTGAAAGCCTGGCAGAGTGCATGTCACTCTGAGTGCCTGAGGACATTTCTGACAACAGTAGTACCTACAAAAACAGCGCATTTAATCCTGTCGTATATAGAGCTGCACCCTAATAAATATTTTGAGAAGTAGCCAACAAGCCTCAAGGGAGCTCACCATATAATTACATGCATGTATACTCTAACAGATACCAGTCCTCCTGTTTTTCCCGAAAGGCCTTTTCATAGGTGTAGATTTAGGGGTGGGGAGACGCAGAGGACACATCCCTTTTATTATTTAGAATATGTTCATTTGTTCCCACCAATAAAAGCATTAAGGATTTAATTCTCCCCACCAAACATGATTGGCATACATGTATGATATGGTATATGTTTATGAATTTAACAAACACTTTCTCCTCCATCTCCTCAGACTGAGCACCCAGAGCTTCTGCTGCTATTGCTCTGAATGACCAAAAGGACAGACTATATACAATCCCACCCCATGTCACAAATGTCTGTTACTACAGTGAAAATAGTTTTGTTGACTTAGCTTGTAAATATTTATTTTACAGTGGAAACTCTGCTTTTCAATCCCATCCAAAACTGCTGTTCTGGATCAGGCTCATGCTTGTACAGAAACTATGCATGTTCATGATGAAGGGTCGAGCCTGATTGTTTTTGGGCCTGATCAAAGCTCTACCTTGCAATGCCCACATGTACATGCTATTCTTATGAGCCTGTCATATGTTTATGAAAAGTAATGCACCACAATTCATATATAATCCATGTAACTGAGGGCTGCAACCACATGACCAATGTGCTGACAGGAGTACAATAAGAAAGTAGTTTAAAGACTGAAAGTCCATGATGTTAGGGATGTAGGTTGAGATGGTAGATGGGTTAAACAACACTGGACTTTCCCCCGGGAGACTGGTGTTCGTAACCGTGTGAAACCAAGTTATTTTAAGGTGTGTTGTCATCATGTTTGTTTTCCTAACGCTAACCTATAGCCCCTTTTACACTGCCAGATTTTCCGCGAATGTTGGGCTGTTTTGCCGGCAAGCTGCGAGCGTTTAGACACACAGAGCCGGACTGGTGAGTTGATCCGAGGTGCCCAATTTTCCGTCTCGTAGGGTAGTCATATTGGCGAAACCTTTTTGCTTTAAACAGAACGAGGCGGCCTTCCGCCACGGGAGGGGCTGTTGATGACTTGAGGAGCTCTGTTGATGACGCCACAACCCACTGGCAGTGGATAAACAGGAAACAGCTGATAGCAGGAATTAGCGAGCAGCTAGTAGCAAGAGGGAAACACAAACCTGACACACACTATGAAAAACCTGACAGACACTATGAAGATGAGATGTTGCTCATCTTCATAGTGTCTGTCAGGTTTGCGTTTCTCTCATGCTACTAGCTGCTCGCTAATTCCTGCTATGATGGGGAAACAAGGAATTGCGGGCCCTCTTTGCCCTCGCAAACGAAGAGGCCATTAACTGTCAAATGACGTGGACAGTGAACAACGGGCCAACTTACAAGAGAATCGCCGAAGGACTGACTAGCTGCGGCTTCCCTCCCACGCCACTGTTTACATCACACACTGAATTACACATTTTGTTACTTGCTCACGCCCTCCATTGCCCCGAAAAAGGTGCATTCTGTATAAACAAAAGTAGGCAGGCGGCATTATGCCGCACTACTCGATTTTGTTTATATACTGCCAATGCTGAAAGAAGACTCATTGGGCTTTCCTGCAAATTTGCACAATTCCTGTTTAAAAAGGGCTTATGTAACTTTACTTGACCAACCCGAACCTACATCTGTGTACTTGCCGAAATCTAACCTATGTAACTTTACGTTAAGTACATAACATCATTTTTGGAGCACTAATCAGTTGGATATTTACTAAGGGTATTGATCATGTTCTGCAATTTTGTCCCTTAGATGTACCCTAGTCAAGCCACTGCAGCAGGTTCCTGCCTCCGGATGCTGCAGTGATGGACAATAATGACATGAAATAAAATAAAATAATGACTAAGATTTTGAATAGCTCATTTCACTAAAAAAAACCCAGGCAGCTCAGTGGACATGTCAAAAGTAATATGTACCTTTTGTCTGACAGAATTTAAATATCAACAAAGTACTGTGAGTTTGAGGCTACCACCAACGAGGTGAACATAGGTGCAGCTAATCGACTGATGTCAGAGGGCAACTGCTGGCGTCAGCAAAGCCTGCAAAGCACTATTTGGAGTGTTCGAATAGCCATGGACCCTTGTACAAAATCTAGGAGGGTTTTCAGTGCTTGCTAAATGGGCAGCAACTGACTGCAGACCATTTATGGTGAGGAATTTTATTTTAGTTAGATGCTTGGGGCATGTCGTAGTACAACAATTACTGATTCATCAGTTTTTCTTTAATCAGTCTTGTGTCCCTCAATTTTCAACTAACCTCAAAGTTAATCGAGCTATCAAGTATTTTTGTTTCTTATTCATTTTATTGAAATGTGCTGCACGGTTTGTAGGTCTACATGAACTCCTGCATATTTCCCAAATTTTCTGCAATCTTTAAACAAACAAAAATCACTGTATTTCAGAGAGTAAGCACTTTGAAATTGTCTCCTACCTCTAAGTCATAGTTTCTAGATAATTTTCTTGTAGCAGTGCAGCAATGATATGAAATAAATTAATCTAAAAGTAATCTAAATGTACCCTAATCAAGACACTCTGCAAATGCAAAATAATGAAATTTTAAACATGGAGTTGAAAGTGCGATTAATCACGATTAACTATTTCAATTCAGCAATTAATCGCAACTTTAAAAATAGTCATTTGACAGCCCAAATATTTATATGAAAGGTTGCATGAGGACACTTTGAATTAAAACATGAAGTGCCTGCAGAAGGCTGAGGCCAGGGGTGCCGCCAAGGGGTGGCCAGAGTGGAGGGGCATGACCACCCTGATACACACATGGGAGAAATTTTTTGTGTAGAAAGCCTTCACTGACAGAACTTATTCATTTTAACTCAAACCACAACTTTTCCCCCCTGGCCTTAATTAAGAGATTCCTTTCTGGTAGAAAGCCCTCAAGGAAAATGTCTCCCAACTACCCCCGATACAATCACCTGCCCAACCCCCATTCCCCTCTTGCAAGTCACATATGCCTAATATGTGCATAAGTGACTTGCAAGGGCGGATGGGGGTGTGTGGGGGTGTTCTTAGACATGAGATGGCTTGTTCCCAGTAAATGTTTTGCTCCTTGAATTAAAGCTTTATTTGTCTTTGTGAGGAAAAGGATAACCAGCCCATTTGAAGTACAATGAATCACCGCGGACGTGTAGAGTTATATAACACACTGAAAAAGGATTGTTGTGGAAGTCAGAATATTATTGTATTGGCATTAGTCTATGGAGATCATTTGTAAAATTAACTGTAAAATAAGAAATCAACATGTGCAATTTCCTTAGTTTTAAACTAGCCTGTATACTTAAGCAGCATAATAATTCTTGAAATTTAGTTATGACCCCATCTGACCACCCCTGGCAAACTTTTCTGGAGGCGCTACTGGCTGAGGCTCTGTGTGGGGTGTAACTGTGATAAATGTTATGAATACATTCCAGTCATGTTGCAACAATAAACAATGAGTCTAGTTCATTAGCATTAACACTGACACATTAAAAAGCAACTGTCCTGCTTTTCTGATAGTCTTTACCTGTTGCTGATGAGACACCCAGTTTGTTATTTCCCATTAATGTCCTTTTACTGGAGTCCAGTCCATCCTCCTTCTTCTTCTCCACACAGAAGGTTCTGGCTTGAGGCTTGAGGGCCAACCGGAAAGTAGACACAAAGGTCTTCGGCTTGCCGCCATCCTTATCCATCCCTATGTAGAAATGAGTTTTCAGTCATCAGTCAGGCCTGCTCTTTCTCTTTAGGTTGCACTCAAATATATATGTGTGTGTGAAGTTGAGTCGCCCGGTCTCTATTCACACATCCTGTCTGAGATGCTAACAGGAGGAGCCTCTGCTTTCAGTCAGCCCCTGAAATCACTACCCACCCTCGGCCCCACAGTACACAGGAAACAGCTTTTTCATCGGAAGGCCAATTAAAACACACATGTCCAGCCCCCACTGTCCCCCTGAGCTGAGAACAGACGCAGAGAGACACATGTGATAGAAAATAAGCCACAGAGACAGGGTAGGAAACGTGTGGGAGAGACTAACATTCCAGCTGAAGAGAAACAGAGGTGGATACTGATAAAAGAAAAGTATACAGAGCATTTTTTACCTGGTGGCTCTCTTCATAAAATCTGCTTGTCCTCACACAGATTCCCACTGTCAGCTTCTTCTCTCCATTTTACCCCCTGTAAACATCTATTCCCAGGAAACACTCAGTCACAAAGGTTGAGCAACACTGCCAGAGTCGCCGCAGGAATCAAGTAGAACCTGTAGGGTAGCTTTCTTCACGCATTGACGCTGCTGTGAGACAGACAGCCTGGGGAGAAATCACTGAAGTGACTCTATAAAACTGTGGACTTCCAGGGATTTGAGTTTCTTTGAGTCAATGTGGAGCTGTGGGACGATGTGACCACAAACAGTTAGATCTACTTGTAAATGAGACGCCTTTAATTCTATTTAAATGAGAATAATAGTGACTGCTGGCTGGGTGTGTCTCCAAGGTGTGCTCTCAATTACCTTTTGTTGCCTGATGGTTACTACAGACTGGTTTTCTCTTATCCATATTCAAAGCGGAGAGGAGATAGCTTCTTTGTCTCTGTTGCTATTCTGAAAAGCAGTTTTGCTGACTGTCTGTAAAAGCCTCACTGACTGGAATTTTTTTTTCCTACATCCTACAACATATGAATTTCATGGATTGTTGTTCATTTATTGTTTTCACTTTTGGGATCAATAAAGTACATTTAAATGTATACAACTACTAGATAATATTGAAATAAATAATGGATAATATTGTATATTGAATGAATACATTTGTGAAATTATGGTCAAACTGGACCCAATATGTACAGGAGTTGCTGACAAATTAATGGATCCCTTAAAGAGATAAAGATTATAATAATCCTATAATGAGGAAAGAGGGTCTTAATATGGAGTGTTCGAATATATATATATATATACAGTACAGGCCAAAAGTTTGGACACACCTTCTCATTCAATGCGTTTTCTTTATTTTCATGACTATGTACATTGTAGATTCTCACTGAAGGCATCAAAACTATGAATGAACACATGTGGAGTTATGTACTTAACAAAAAAAGGTGAAATAACTGAAAACATGTTTTATATTCTAGTTTCTTCAAAATAGCCACCCTTTGCTCTGATTACTGCTTTGCACACTCTTGGCATTCTCTCCATGAGCTTCAAGAGGTAGTCACCTGAAATGGTTT